AAAATAAAGGATGCAATTATCACTAAGTTTATTATAAGATATATTCCTTTGATTTCTAAGCTGCTCCAAACTTCATTCAATTAAATAGTATAAGTGAAGAAATCTAGATTAGTACAACAAGCAAAAATGATGTGGGCTTGACTTAATTAAGATTGCATGTTACAATATGGAGAAATACTAATATCAATAAGTAACGTTGGTTATATAATATTAAAATCAATGTTGAAGAGTTGAAAATATCATATTAATAAAATACAGCACCTTACTTTGTAGGTGTTCTGAAGAATGTACTTATCTATGAAAATGAAAAAACATCTATCAATTTACCTCCAATCTACGATCTTGAATAAGATTAAGTTAGAGTTATAGTTGATGCATAATAAGTTCAAGATTTAATTTAACTTAAGAACAACAAAATTTTAAATATTGCTCCAACAAAAGAATTAATTGGTATTTATACTATCAAGATCTTACTAATTGATAACAATCAAAATTCTAAATCCTAAGAATATTATTTCCTTTTGAAAATCATGAAGTTAGAGGGTATTGATGGAAAAAACTAAAATAATAGTTTGGAAAGTGAAATTCTTGATTCAGAGATTCGAGAATAAATGCTAAGATCTTTTAAACCATTAAATTTAGTTGCACATATAACACAAATCAGTAATTAAGGCAAAGTCAATATTAAGTTTGACAATACCATAAAATTGCTTTATAACAAATCTTCAGATGGAATAAATGCAATAAGTTCGGCTTATAATGATTCTATTGAGATCTTTGTCTAATAAAGCTAAAATAGAAATAGAGTCTAATATGAAATTATAAAACTCACATCTATGAGCTTAGAAGTCTAAGTTTATTTTTCTGATTATAAAAATATTTCCTAATTCTTGGTAAGATTAAAATCTAATGTTGTTAGGGATGAGATTAACTGATAGTATTATTCAAGAAGGAATATCTCTTCATTAGCTAGGATTCATAAAAAATGATAAAGCAAAATTAAGAGATTTAAAAAAGTATTCCTTAATAAATCTCTATTAGTAAGCAATAGAATATTAAATTAATTGTAGATGGTAATCTAATTGGGAATATTGGATAAGAAATGTAGACAACCTTGCTAGGAATAATGGGTTCAAATATACTAATAAATCTTATTTTGTAAGAGTTTTTCAACTTCATTTTTAATAGGAGTTAAAGTTTGAGTCTTCTTTGGGGTATGATAAACAGTTTCTAGTTGATATCTCACTTGCCATTAATGTCTATAAATATCCCTTCGAACACATAAATGCTATTTGGATTCATCAATGATGTTACTAGCTTTTAATTGATTCCAATAGATTTTCTAAACGAATTAATATTTTAAAAAGAAAATTAAGTAATAATAATAAACATTCACAATGATTACTTTGAATAAATGGGATATGATAGCACAAATATTATAACAAATTTAGGGCTATTGTTTTACATCCTAATATTGATTACGATTATTGCTTTGATGGGGAAATTTGTACAGCTTTTGATAATATAATCATGGATGTAAATTACTTTATTTTTATTTTTTAAGAGTCAATAAACTTAAGATCCTTCTGAGTGATAACCACTTTAAAATTTTACTCTTAAGATTTTACTATGAATCCTATTTAGAATTAGCCTTATGCTCACTGATTAATATTTAAGATGTAAAAAATTCTGAGTTATGACATTTTTAGTTAAGTTTATTGGAACTAATAGATATATCAGCTACTATTTTGACTTTTATTCTCCTGATACTAGCAATAATATTTCCTCTCATTATAATGATGCATATATCTAACTTCAGATTAAAGTTTTCAATAATTTAAGAAATAACGAAGATCATGAATAGAAAGCATTAAATATTTGCACCATTGCTGATTATAAGAGCTCTATTATTCTCAATAATCCTAACTGCTATCGAGAATTCATAAGGTCTCCAGCTTACTTTAATACTTCTTTTTTAGTTATTCACGTGTTTATATATAGCACAATATTAACCATACATTACATTAGAACAGAACCAATTAGAAATGTTTAATGAAATTTGTATACTAATTATAGTTTACTCCTTTATTCCATTTTTAGATAATTATCAACTTGATTACGATTTAAAGATGCAATTGGGCTTTATACCGATACTTATATCTATTATTTTCATGGCTGTTAATATATTAAATATGGGAATAAAAACATTTACTCTAATTAGAATTAAAATAAAGCAAAATAAATTAAAAAATATAAGAAGTAATCATCTTAGATAAATTACAAGATTCGTTGATGATTTCAATTATCAGTTATCCTAATAAACTAAAATGATTAAAGATAATGATGTTGAAAATTTATTTGGCAAACCCTTTCAAACAAAATATTAAAAGAAATTCGATAGGAAGTAACTCTCGGAACAAGTTTTAAGGGATTAAACAATAAAATAGGAAAAAAAGAAAAAGATAAAGTAATAATCAAAATCTTAAAAAATAAGGAATTCTCGAGAAAATTTAGATTCAATTTAAAAAACTATTTCTCATGAAACATTTCACAGACTTAAAGATTCGTCTGTTATTTTTGATTTTTACTAAGATGAGCTTTTGGCTTACGATTTTGATAAGATTAATTCAAAAATAAAATTATAAGAAGTCATTTAAAGACCAGAAGAGAAAGCAGAA